CCACCCCCCCCCCCCTACTCCACACTCGCCCTCCCTCCCTCCCTTCCCAGCTCCTTCCCCTCCCCTACTGCCCCCACCCCCAACTTCCTAGTCTCCTGGGGCAATCTTGGCAGTGGGCGAGGGAAAGGCAAACACTTAAGGTGGCAATCAACAAGCGATGGAAAGTCAAGATTTGTGTATTGTCTCCCTCCACCCCCCACCCCCCCGTCCTCAAATTCCCCTTTCCTTCGTTTCATTTTTTTTTCTCTCTCTCTCTTTTTTCCAATCCTCCGTCTCCTTTCCTCTAACCACTCTTATCCCCTCCCCCCTTTTTCTTGATTACCTCCCTGATTTTCCATCTTTTACCCTCCTACCCTTCCTCCTTTTCAAACCTTTCTCTCTCTCTCTCTCTCTCTCTCTCTCTCTCTCTCTCTCTCTCTCTCTCTCTCTCTCTCTCTCTCTCTCTCTCTCTCTCCCTCCCTCCCTCCCCTTTTCCTTCGTCTCTCCTTCTCGCTCTTTTCATACACGTACATGCGGAATGACGCCATACTCTTAAAACACTTCAAGAATATGTAAACAAGGTGTAGATTTTTGAGAATGAAACATAGCCTTTGCATAATAATAATAGTAGTAATTGCAATAATAACAGCAACAATAATAATAATCATATACTGGCCTAAGGATCTATATAAATCGACAACTCGACAGATTATGAACAGATACACACACAAAAATATAAAAACAGCATCATTATCATCAAAATCATTACACCCAATTATATATGCAGGTTTGCATAGACCTCTCCTACGATTGAGTCCTCCCCCCCCCCCCCATCCACTCCCCTTATCTCCCGTCCCAAGTATTCTTCGTCCATTCTTCTATCTCTCCCCTTCCAATTTTTCCTCTTAGTTTCCTTTCTAAAAAGACGTAAAGGTCACTTTCACAAGGAGAGACGCCAGCCAGAGTGACTTCTTTTTTTCTTTTATCTCTGAAGGACAAATCTGAAATAGGTTCAGATCAGGTCAAGTCGAGATTTCTGCGGCGAGGGAGGGAGGGCTGGGGGAAGGGGTGGAGGGAGAAAGAGAGAGAGAGAGAGAGAGAGAAAGATGTAGTGGGTACATGATTCGAGGAAACGCATGGAAATGAAAACAAAACAAAAGTAACCGAATACCTGAAGGATATGTATAGGGAGAAGAACATATTAATATGTCTAAAACTTGAGGGGAAAAGAAACAAAACGACAGACTGGGAGAAAAGTGAGATTAACATTATACATGGAAATTATGTAACGAAAAAAAAATTCTGATAAAGAAAAAAAATACCGGATGCCACAGGGTTTCTGAAAGTTCTACATTACATCATTCTAGTCGTTTGAGGGTTAAAGGGACAAGCAGTTGATGGACGTCGGGCAGAGGGAGAAAGGGAGTAAAGAAGACATGCTTGAAAGTAGGAAAGAAGGGTAAAGGAGGCAAAGACGGAAGGAAATTTGAGGGGAGTAGGAGAAACGGTGAACGAGATAGAAAGGGAGGGGGGGGGTCGCCAGATGAGGATTCAACCTACTTAATCCAAAGGCAGTTGCACTCCTCCAGATAGCGCTTGCCAAAGCCAACCGGCACTCACCCCCCCTCCCCCCGTCTCTCTCTCACTCACGCTTTCTTTCTCTCACATACGCTTTCTTTCTTTCTCTTTCACTCATGTTTTCTTTCTTTCTTTCTTTCTCACTCATGTTTTCTTTCTTTCTCTCTCTCACTCACGCTTGCTTTCTCTCTCTCTCACTCACGCTTGCTTTCTCTCTCTCTCTCTCACTCACGCTTGCTTTCTCTCTCTCTCTCTCACGCTTGCTTTCTCTCTCTCTCTTAGTGTGGAGGTGACCGCCCGGCGCACGTGCTTTCCGGGTATTCGTTTGTTTACATGGTCCAAGCCGCCGACGGTATTTGGTTCGTCCTCTGTTGTCTCCTCTTCTTCGTCTTTCCCTTGCCGCGCGGATATTTTAACCTTCTCTTTTTTCGTTCGTTTGTTTTGGTCCATGTTTATATTTTCCCCCTTTTTCTGTCCCTTCGTCATTATTTTATCACGTCTTCACCATAATTACCATCACCACTAGTAGTACTACTACTTTACCGCCACTATTACTGCTGCTACTATTACTACTACTACTATACTATACTATACTATTGTCATTCGTTTCTAGTACATCAAATATTTCATGACTACTACTACGGGTGATAGAGAAAAACCCTCTCGAGCACTCAGCCTAGGCTATTTTAATCCAAAGAGCAGGTCAGTGAACATGAAATATCTCTTCGGTGTTTGAATGCTCAGGTTTCAGATAGAGGGAGAAGAAACCTCGCTCTACAATCTTAACGGTTCCCAAGGCAAATGAAAAAAAAAAATCTAGTCGAGTTTACCGCATTTCGTTAATGTATGTACCACGCAGATCGCTTGTTGTTGTTGTTTTGGCAGAGTTCACAGCAACGCTTCACAGTCTTCTACGGTTCTCTAAGCCAATTCTTATATTCTTGGGACGACCTTGCCATATAACCCGCAAACCGATACATCTCCCACGGCCAGCCTTTTTTCCGCCTTGTATGTTTTTAGCAGAGTTTATGGCAACCTTTCTTATTGTATTTGAGTGGCGTGCTAGCGTCCTCAGTCACCCCACGAGGCGCTCTTGCCTGGCCCTCGTCCAAGCCTCTCTTCATCTATGGCGCCCGCCCCGAAACCCGCCCTTCCATATGACTGCGCTACATCCCCGATTCCGCAGAGGGTCTCGGACCTGATGAACCCAAAGACAAAAAAATATATATATGAATAAATAAATAAAAGCTTCGTTGAAATGGTCGTTGTAGGACAAAGCAGCGTGGTCTGTTGATTGCTGGTCGACCTGTGTAAAGTTCGGTTGAAGTTGTTGCGGTTCCTGTACTTAAGGACTTTAATCGTCGTGGAATTGATTCTACGTCGAAGCTAGTTCTCTCTCTCGCTCTCTGTCTCTGTCTCTCTCTCTGGTTTATGATTTACTTGCTTAGATGTGAATTCGAAGAGTTGGTCTGCGCGGCTGAGACATCCACACCATAATTTACGTTATAAGTTAAGGGAATAAAACCTAAGAACCAAGGAGCGTCTTTCTGATCCAATAGTACATTGGGCAGAGAAAGAGAGAAAAAAAAAATAGACACCTACAAACACTTTTTGAGGTTATTCCTCTTCAACAGAAAAGACACATTATTAAACATAGATTTTGGACACCTAATTCTCCACTGAGGAGGCAAATATATTACGTGATTATTACTGATTCAGAAACCATTTCTTAACACCGAAAGTGTGATGACCATGGACGGTACGTTAATTTGACAGCTTTTAGGCAGGGTGATGTATATGGTGTGTGTGTGTGTGTGTGTGTGTGTGTGTGTGTGTGTGTGTGTGTGTGTGTGTGTGTGTGTGTGTGTGTGTGTGTGTGTGTGTGTGATCAGTTCCAGCACAAACGCAACATGTTCTTTCATTCTCTTTGTCATGACGGCACTTCCATTACCAGGCATTATTAGTTTCCGATTATTGTGTTATTCCGTCAATATCAGTTCATTTCGCAGAACGTCATCGCTTTCTATATACCCTCTCTCCCCCCACCCCATTTTCCTGTGCTACATATGACGTCATAGATGGGTGTGCCGAGATCCCGTCTGCTACCCTGACCTTCACTAGTTTTCCTTCCTTTTCTCTCCATGTGAGAGGAGATACCAACAGTAATTTCACAAAAACAAAAATGTTAATTGTTTAGGCAGTGATATATCTGAGAATGAATATGTGGTAGAAGAGAAATGCCTTTCGAAAAAGATGAACATGTTTGTGTCATTATTGACTTGGTTCCAACACATACATACACACACCTACCTCCCCAGCCAATCCGGAACCTGGAAGTGGATGACGTAAGTTGGTCCGCCAATCCATAAACGAGGAAGGAATGACGTCATGAGAGCTCTGCCCAATGGCATGGCAACCTCACGTGACGTCATTGAGTTGCGCTGAGCGGGGCGAAATATACCTCTGCACACATTTACAGTCTGAACTTCAACAATATCGAAATAAAAAATATATTTATACATACATATATAAACGGATGAATAAAGAACTTCCACTTCATCATGGGTGGTGATTTATCTTTTCCCACTTACGTAAGCATAACATCTCCCATCTCACTCGATGAGCATTTTTAGAGAGCATCTCCCCTCCCCAAATAAAAGAAATGTCTGCCTGTCCTATTTTCCTATTACCCGAACATGTATACCCCATTTCAACAGAACCGACCTCCTACCCGTGCCTGTGTAGTCTCCTGTGGGAACTTTCCATACTGGCATCTCAATTCTACCACTTCTCTTGCGGGTCCCCCAAAAAAGCATAAAATCATATAAAAATATATATATGGAATAAGCTGAAGACCAGCATATGAAAGCAGCAACTAGATGAAGTGGCTATTATGAACTGAAGGCTCTGTAATTATGATTATCATCATTACTTTTATTATGATTTTTCCTATATTTTTTCATCGGCATTATCATTATGACCATTATCTTACAAGGCTTTTTGCATTACTACCATTGATCTTTCCTTCCCGTAATAGATGAATTGAATCGGCAGCCGGTGAATAGGACCGAGAATTCAGTAGAAAAATGAGATAAAGATGCAAGTGCTACCATATCCTTTCATTCTCACTATAATCTTTCGAAATTGTGGTGTTGACTCGTTTTAATACAGGACGCTAATGTTCCTCCTTTCTTTTCCTTCTGCTCTTGTCTTTTTTTTCTTTCAGCTTCTTTAAAAGTGTTTCTGTGTGACAAGAATCAGTATCCGAACATTCACATTCACATGCTTTTATTCATTTCTCCATTCCATTTCCATCGCGTCGGGTTCATTTCATAAGAATTCCCTCACATTAGTCATTTTATCCATTCTTCCATTTTTCTTCCTTGTCCTTCCTCACACGTCATTTCTTTCCCCTTATTAATCCAACCCCTTCTGCTCCACAGACCAACAACAGGAGCTCGACATCCCGAGCCTGAGGGTGGATGACGGCGAGCGACCTAAGAGGAAGGAGCGCAACCTGTCAAGCGGTCCTTCGTCGGCAGTCGTCCCAGAGGCTTCAGTGGTAGCCGCCTTGCCTTCCACCACGACCACAACCACCTCGGATATCGGTAGCGTCGTTGCCACCACTGGTATCAAGGATGTGTCGATGTCACAGATACAGGGCGTCAAGAAGCCGCTCCTACATGCCAACTCCTTCTCGGGCGAGAGGCTGCCCAAGTACGGCGTCGACACCCGCCAGGAGGAGGAACTGGGCAAGGTGAGAGGCGCTTTGTCCTTTTTGTTAATTGGCCTTGTCAGTGTGTGTTTATAAACGTGAAGTATTTGGTAAAGGGAAGATAGAACATCCTTGATCGGGTGCGTCATTGCAAAGGTTGGTATATTTGTAGGAGTCATGAGGTATTATCATATTTGATCCCCGAGAGAATCGGCAAATAATATGTATGGAATGTATTTGTATCCCAGTTTTTAAGCCATAACTTCCTTTTATCATTCTTATCTTGTTAATGTTGAACTAAAAGTATATTCTTAGTATTCTTCAAGTCAAGCTTAATAATGGGATACACATTGATTAGGCATCTAAGCCACAGAGTCCTTGTATCATGTAAATCTGATTCATGTACAATCTGGATTAAAGGTAAGTGGTTTGAGGATATACTTTCTATGTCAATAGGCTAACATACTGCCCTATATTTCCAACCAGTGTTTTTGTGTTAGTTTACATGTCGAATATTACATTGAATAACATGTTTCATGTTCTGTTAATAAAAAGAAATACTGTGATAGAGGGACCTTCTTTGTGTGCATACCGATGTTATCAAGACATGCATTATCTCTTACTTACTTCTTATGTGTTTGTGTTCTGGGCAGCTGGAGGATATAAGTGAGGAGGTAATTTGGTTACCTGAACACCACCCATAGCTCCTTCATCTCCATGCAACCTTAAACCCTCACTTGCTCTCATCAATAGCTTCCTTTCCCTTTAACTCGGTTCCTTGCATTTCTTCACTACACTCTCTTAAATTCATGTTCACTGTCACATTACTTCCTTTTTTTTTTCTTTTTCATGTCTCATACAAGTTATATTCTCCCTGTAGCTTCATGGCTCTTTTACAACTGCAAGCTTCTCACCTCCATAGACTCCTTCTTTCTACTGTCACACGTTCCATGCTGCAACACTTTCTAGGTTATTTAGGATTCTCACTCAAAACTCCATCAGAATATGTCGTTTTTCTTAATTTCCATTTTTGTTTCCTTTATAACCCAGAAACAGCACCTCCTAGTTCATACAATAATTTCCTGTAGCCTCCAGTCTATGCACAGCCTTATATACAAACATGCTTGCAACACACCAACATTACATGACAAAGATTACATTACCATGGCAATCCCAGAGACATACCTAGACTGCTGTGTCATTCAGTCATTCAGAAACTTGGTTCAGATTCAACTGATCACTTTTTTTTTTTCCTTTTTGTCCAAATCAGGAGACTTATTACATCTTGGACTTAGAATTAAAGTGGAGCATTAAGAGTCATATCTAAACATACAGAAGACACATGCACGTGCCACCACTAAACAGTAACATGTTTATGAGACTCAAGCATGACATACTGCTCAATGCACCCTAGATTTGTAACTGTTAACAGACAGTTTTGGATGATCAAGTTCTTCTTGGCTACTTGCACTGTTGTAGTACATATATCATGCCAATACAGCATAAATCCATTTTTCTTTCAACTTATAACTAGCTGAAAAATAACTTCTTCTCCTATAAGTTAAATGGAACAGTACATACATGTAGTTACACCTTCGTAGAAAAAAAGCATTTGTAAATATAATAAAAAAAAAGTATTTGTGATGTGATAATAATGTAGTCCTAAATTAGTGCTCTTTCTTTAGGTATTTATATAATCAAATATAATTTTATAGCTTCTCTTTATACAATGTCTCTTATGACTGAGATTAACATGTATATAAAATATTTCTTTAATGTTTAACGAGTCCATTTTTATTGTTTACTTCATAGTTTTAATGTAAACTTGTCAGTATTAAAAAAAAAAGAGGTCTTAATAACTTTTAAGTATCCATCCATCCACCTACCCACACCCCCACATACACACACACACACACACACACACACACACACACACACACACACACACACACACACACACACACACACACACACACACACACACACAGAATATACGTGTAATGGATTACACATATTATTTGTATTTCTTATGCATAAGTGACAACAAATGCATACAAACATTATTTATATACAGATATATCCCTACATTAATACACCATATACATAGTTATTAAGAGAAAAAAAAATGCTTATGGTCAAGATTAAACTACATAAATCTTTTCTCTTTTCAGATTCTAGAAGATATAGACAAATGGGGCATTGATATCTACAGGATAGCCGAATTATCAAATAGAAAACCTTTAACTACCATCACATATACTATTTTCATGGTAAGTGCGAATGAAAATTGGATAAACTTGAGACTTATATGGGTGTCATAAATTGTCTAATAACCACATACCCTATGTGGTTTTTGTGAATTATACATATTTTTTTAGTCTTTTTCTTCCCAATCCTCTTTTTTTTTTTTTTTTTTTTTTTTTTTTGCCTTTCCTCTACTACTGCCACTTCATATAAAACATATAAAAACTCTTTTTTTTCAATCAATATAACCAACTACTATTTTTCTCTCTCTCCCCCACAGGAACGTGATTTGCTAAAGACATTCAAAATTCCGCCCAAGACTTTCATAACATTTATGATGACCCTTGAAGACCACTATTTGAAGGACGTTCCATACCACAATTCTTTGCATGCAGCTGATGTCACTCAGTCCACCCATGTTCTTCTCAACTCACCTGCTCTTGAGGTACAGCATAGGAATGATATCCAGTGGCTTAGTAAAGCAACGGGTTATTTGACTTCTCACAGGCCTTTCGGGCAACTGAATGATAACTGAAATCAGTTTTAAAAAATAAAAAATTCTCAAATGAAATTATCTAATTTAGTAAAAGTTTTTTTTTTTCACAAGTAAAAAGGAATACTTGTCATAATTTACTTTCTCTGCGAATATTAATCTGTACTCTCAAATCTTGCAGTCTGTCTTCACAAGCCTAGAGATCCTGGCTGCAATCTTTGCAGCCGCCATCCACGATGTGGACCACCCAGGCCTCACAAACCAGTACCTGATCAACTCCTCCTCGGAGCTCGCCCTCATGTATAACGATGAATCTGTGCTTGAGAACCATCATTTGGCTGTGGCCTTCAAATTGCTGCAGAATGAGGATTGTGATATCTTTGCCAACCTTGGCAAAAAGCAGAGACAGACTCTCCGCAAGATGGTGATAGACATGGTTCTTGCCACAGACATGAGCAAGCACATGAGCCTCCTGGCTGATCTCAAGACAATGGTTGAAACCAAGAAGGTTGCAGGTTCAGGTGTTCTCCTTTTGGATAATTATACAGATAGGATACAGGTAAATAGTTGTCTCACTTTTTCAAAGAATCAGATGAAAAAATACCGGTGCAAATATAAGTATATTCTATAAATGTGACACATAAAATACTGTAATCTTTGTTCCTATGTTACTTTAATTTGATAAGTCTTTTATACACAAAGTACAGAAAGTCTAATATTTAGAACTGAAATCCACTCTTGAGAAAGAGAACATTACATGCTTCACAAGAAAAAAGTTCTCGGTAAAATAAGAAATTTATATTGTCATTCACAAGAATATTATATCTTTTAAGACAGCCAAACATTAACAAACATTTCTAATGGCTTTGTCATTTCCTCAGGTGCTTCAAAATATGGTGCACTGTGCAGACCTTAGTAATCCCACCAAGCCCTTGGAACTCTACCGACATTGGGTTTCCTCAATCATGGAGGAGTTCTTCCAACAAGGCGACCGTGAAAGGGAACAGGGTATGGATATATCTCCCATGTGTGATAGACATTCAGCCACCATTGAGAAGTCTCAGGTAAGAGGAAGGTCTACTTTTTGTATATTTCTTAATTTATTACTGCATAACTAAAGTATTGCTATATTTTGATAGTAGAAATCTTATTTATTAATATTATTATATTTCTGCTATCTCAGTAATTGATAATACTGTAATTTTACATCACTGTAATGATTATCCTTGAGAAGAAAACATCTTTCCCCACATGTAATGCAATTCCTTTTGGAGCTCTCAATCATTTGATAATCAAATGCTTTGCCATTGAGTTTCTTTTCCATTCAACTCCACTCATAAATAATCCCACTCCCACTATTACAGGTTGGCTTCATTGACTACATTGTGCACCCACTATGGGAAACCTGGGCTGACTTGGTCCACCCAGATGCACAGGACATCCTTGACACGCTGGAGGAGAATCGTGACTGGTACCAGCGCATGATCCCCATCTCGCCATCCTCTTCATCAAATGACCTCAAGGAAGAAGAGGGCCAGGGGGATGACTCAGAGGATGGCCCTGAGGAGGAATTGTGTGCTGCAGCTGAGAGAATCCAGATCCAGTTTACGCTTGATGATGAAGGAAGTGGAAAAAGAGCGCCACCGGAAGACGCTCAGGGGGAGGACCCCACAATGTGACCACTGGTGGCCTCTTACTGTACCAAACTTAAGCGCAAAGTGATGAGGTGGCTGCACCTCAAGTGACCAACCCCATGGGAGGCGGGAACCGTGTTAAGTATCGTCCCCCTCCATGTTAGTGGCCTCGTCTTCAACTTTTACCTTTGTACCTCATCTTTTGAGATTTCTTTCATAGCCAGTTGGACACTCTGACTATCTGGCATGCTCCCAGAGCCAGAGCCCCAATCTTGTGAAGAGTATGTTGTGCAAACACTTGGGTGTTTCTTGTGGATAACGCCCGGTGAGCCGAATGTACGTTTTGCCATGTGTCCATAGCGTGCCCTGCAGGTTCAGGGTTGATCGCATGGGTTTGTCTGAGCTCCTCAAGACTGTGCCGTTCGCCCAGCCTCCTCAGCTGACCCATCCTTGCCTAGTGAGATCATTATTTTCTTGTAGCAGTTGTAGAGTTGTAGGTGGTCACAACAGTGAACAGTGCCAAATTGTTCCTTTTGAATATGGACCCTAAGGAAGTGACATGTTTATCACAAATTAGTGAGCACAAGTTTGGGACGTTTTATGTTAAGTGAGGACTGTGGCTTGTGTGTGGTACATATCAGATAGAGGGATGGAGAATGGGCACATAATGTCTCCATGGTGCTTATGTCATGATTTTGAGAGTGTAAGGCATTACTAGCTCTTTCATTATAACAGATGCCTGATAGGGTTCCTTGCTCTTTTTATCTTTCACAGCAGATCAGCTATCAAAGAAGCCAAAGATAATTTATTGCTTCAGGTTTGTGGTGGTGCTCTGTGTGGCCACCAAAGAAGGCATTGTTGCTGCCATGTGGTACAAAGCCCAAGTGTTGACATGGTGGCAAGGGCAGTGGATCCTTTCAGGCAAAGAGAATTTTACGTGACAAAGTCAGCTATTACAGACAGTGAGGGAGGCTCGGAAGAAGCGTCGACGTGATCACTTCGCTTCTTCTTCCTCAGCCGTTACAGGATCACTTTGTAGTCACTGACTGTGCCAATTTTCATGCAGGGCTCATGACTAGTGTTTATTTTGCAGTGTTTACATTTCAGGTTTTACTCTTTTTAGATGGCTTATTTTGACACTGTCATAGATGTTGGGCAAACTTGAAAAAATAAAAAAATATGGGTTTAAACAAAAAACAAAAAAAACATTTTGAAATAGGTAGAAATGTAGAATTTTCTCATGTGATAACAGCAGAGTATTGAGAGCATAGTATGCATCATGTTGTACTCCATCAGCTGCTTCATGTCAGGTTTATGGCTAACATCATTACTCATGGTTTGAGAGAGCCCCACCCCCCAGCACCATAAGCAAATACCCACCATGCTTTTTTCCTCCCAGGCTACCAGCATAAAATTCATTCACAATAAAAGGTAAATAAATATAACAGGATGAGGGGAGGATGGACTGTCTTCATTTTGGATCAGTCCGTCACAAACTCAAACCATGGCTTCTGATTATGCCTCTAGCATATGTGTTGCCTAGTCCTGGCTTAATCAAGTGGTATATTGAGCCTCTGTCCTCCATAGAGAACAGTGCGGAGGAAAAAATAAATAAACGAGAGTAGACGGAGGAGGAGGAGGAGGAGAAAGAGGATATGGAGGAACGTTTAGTTTTGCAGATGTTCCTCTTGCCAGACCTGAGGAAAAGACTCTAGGTTTAAAGAATGCACAGGAATGTGAAAATTTTAGGTTTAAGAATAATTTTGGATTTTCAGAGTAGAAAGGATTCTTTGTTAACTTTACTGTAGTTAAATTTACTGTCTCTATACAGAATATTCCTTTTCTTCTTGAGAATATTTATTGTTGTAATATATATTATGTGTGCATTATTTAATTAAAAGTATTTATATCAAATGAAGAGATACATATATGTAAACATTACCCTGTGTATAAGATAGATGGGTATATACTATCATCATTATTTTCCATATATATGTATGTATACAGTATATACTGTTCTACTAACATTGGTTTATGCCTCAGGTCTAGGTGAATATCATTCATAATTGCAGAACATCTGTCTGGACTATGTCGATACTCTTTGTATTGTACTTCCTTGTATGTGAATAATCCTCAGAAATCCTGTATGAATATATCTTATTTTTATTATGAAAGAAAAAAAAATCATGAATCTATGTTTCTATTTCTTCATCTTGTCTTTCGCTCAAGCTATGTTACTCAGTCCTTTGTGACAAAGCCCAAGTTATATAGAATGACATGCACAAACATGAGGAAAACAAACAGAAAGACACACACACACACACACACACACACACACACACACACACACACACACACACACACACACACACACACACACACACACACACAGGAAAAATATAAAATTTACAGTCTTATAAAATGGATAAGTTACTAGCTGGTAGGAATGTGTTTGCTAGATGTGCGAGGGTCAAATATTTCCTTTTAAAATCTAACAAAGAATTAGTTTATTCATTTCAATAATCCCCCCCCCCAACCCCCCTATCAAAACAAAAACCTTTCAATACACAATGTGAGTAATATATGTAACGTTCCCCCCCCCCCTCCCGTTCTTATAACATCATTGCAACGGTATTTCCTGCTGGCTAAGGCTTTACCCAACACATTGCAAGACTCCCTTACGCATACTCAAGTGAAAAAAGTGATATAGACATCATTATGTACTGACACAGATGGTAGTAATTTCTTCATTTCTGCATTCAATATTTTTCTATATAAAACATAAAAAATATATATATAAATAAAAGGATATAATATTTCTTCATCCTGATGTTTGATGTTGAGAAAAAAAAAAAAA